TTCGTCATCACATCTTCGACGTTGTCAACCGATTCCAATGGCCAGAGATGGGAACAGTCCTCGAAGAATTTGTCTAAAGTAAAGATTAAATACAATTCAATGCAATGAAAACACCAACACACCAACTATCGTTGACTCACCTTAGTTGTTCATAAATTAAGGTTTTACTTACGATGTGAATTGCAAGGAATTCAGCTTAAAAAAAAGTGTCGAGTTCTCCAAATGCAGGCTTGCTCTATTCCTAGGTTAGCTGTAAAAAAGTACTTGAGTTGCCACGGCAACTAGCCCTGAATCTAAACAAATAATATAGTCCTTGTAGTCTGTGGAAAAACATTACTTGACCTAGGAACAGACTATTTCCTAGACTATTGTTTTGTTTTCGAAACGATAACAGGTAACCTTACTAAGCTTCTTGCGCACAAAATGGTTTCCGTGACAGTAGCCTGAGATAAGGTGCAATTTTAGCAGCTGCCATACATTCTCTCTTACGTGGTATTTCATTTACGGATCCAAAAGAAAATAGAGCCGGATCTCAGGTTACCGAATAGGTGTGTAGGCGACAAAATTTAACAATCAATGACACAGAATTAAACTAGAAAAATGCATCCATTTTCAGCGGATTTCATCGACTTACAGAGTTGACATTGTAGAGGAGGATGATTTTCCACGCTACAACGACAACCGCCCCTAACTTCATCACAGTAGTGTTTGAATGGACACGGCCGCTGACACAGAGATCCTGCGAATAATAAATGAGCAATGCGATAAATAACAGTAAAAGGATGGTCGCGCTTTTATGCGCACCCTTATTAGAACGTATTAACGCACGCATGTTGCATCAGCAAAGGGAGCCAAGCAACCATGATAGCAACGGCAACGAGAGGTGTCCTACAGAACAGTTGTAGTCTACCAAGAACTCTGTTAGAGTGGTTTTCGTTTGAGTGTCGTAAAACCAAAACCAAAGTAATTACTCTGGCCAATCACATAGGACACAGACAATACATTGAACCAATCAAAACTCGAAGTAATTACATGTGGCTGACGCAAAGCGCGGGAAAATGCATGCGAGCGCGTCACAATTGGCTTTGGTTTTACTTCTGATTGGATGAAAAGGTGGCGCGAATCTTTTAAGCCAATCGCATCGTGTAGAAAGTGCAAAACCAATACTTTTCGACACTCAAATGAAAACCGCTCTACAAAGGGAAAACAAGGCCCAAATACAAAACAAATGTTCAGATTAAACAGCATCAAATTAAACGGATCGGGTTTCTATTTTATTCTTGTACTTTTTCTTCATAATTTAAATGGTCACAGGCGGGTGTGCAAAGAGAAGAGGGCCAAAAATTAAGACCTGTGGGACTCCTCTCGTTGCCCATCAAATAGATTAACGAGAAACACAACTCTGCTGCCTTGCACCCAGGCATGTAAGTGAACATTTCATAGGATCGAGGGCTGGCTTGGGATCGCTTTTCGAATCCCGCATGGCAGCGTGGGAAGACAAAGAACCCGACGCTCTCATCTCCATCTTCCCATAATCCTCTGCATTAACCGAATAAAGCATGAACCTCATTTGTTCTCGTACCCACCGGGTACAAAAAAGTGACAAAGTGTGATCCAAACACCATCGCTTAAAACGCACAACGGAGCATATGTACTGTGTTCACGGGCCTACCTCCAGGTGCCTTGAACAAGACTTCTATGTTACTAACAGTGAAATTCGACTCCCCGGCCAATATTGTTGTCAGGTCCGAGCCTAAAGCACTGTTACTGTCTCTATAAGATGTGGAATGGTGACTAGTGCCTTCCTTCATGTTACCGTCGACGCCTATTTGAAAATCAAACGGAGCTTCACCAAAGGTGGGACCGGTGGATGGAGAGCTAAATATTGCATTAGAGGATGAACCTTGCGCGACTTTCTTCTTGAAAAGGGAGCCTTGCGAGGTGTTATTCAGAGAAAAGATGAACGCCTTGCTATCCATTTTGTAACTTCTCGAGGAACCTAAAATATATTAAACTTAGATATTAAACTTATGAAGGCAAATGTTTTCAACAGTTATTAACACAATTAAAAAGTAAAAAAAAAAAACATTAGGCATTGAAAAAAAGAAACAAAGCAAAGAAAAAACAAGAACAAAATCAAAATCATCAGCCGTTTCACCGCCAATGAAAAAGAAAAAATGTTGCTAAAGATTATGGAGTGCCTTCTATCAAACACCATCTAACGCTCTCTCCCCATGGAAGGTTGCTTATGATGTCATGTCGTCCTTCTGCGTCGAACGCAAAGTATAAAGTTTTGTACCTAAAACTTCTCGAGTTGCAGGAAAAAAAGAGTTTTAACAAGCGCGACGGCAAAAGCAAGGAGAACGGAACGGCAACAACAAAAAGGTTAATACAAATTTTATGTCTTTAGATTGGTACATTTTTCTTTTCTTCTGCCAAATATAAACTTCAAATTACCCAGTTCCAGGCTTGGTGGTGATGGTGTAGTCGCAAATTATTTAAAGGCGAGTTTTCCTTGCTCCCCGTGAACTTGAAATCCGCGACTAAAAATTCACACTCTGGACATTTAAGCCCATTATTCAAACAAGCAAAAGTGGAACATGAACAACTTGAACATAATTCAGTATATTTTGAATTACTCTTTTAAGTGACAGTATTCCTGGTATAGTTTTCAGGTGGTCACGTGACCTCATACTTACATGAAGACGGCTCCAAGACTTTAACCTGGCCATCAACTTTCTCCTTCAAATTAATCCACTGAAACAAATTTCCTAGGCCTTGTCCACAGTTTCGATCAATAGAAGCTACCTCCGCATCGGAAAGATAATAATTCCACACATTTAACGACGTGATTCGTCCAATAAAGGCAAAAGTTACGTCCGACGAATATGGCCGACTTCCTATGTGTAAGGTTCCAGGCGGGATAGTTCCATTCGAAAAAAGTGGCTCTTTTCCTTCTCCCTGCAAGATAGCGTCCTTGTAAATCGCCCAGTCTCCCTTGCTACTTTTCCACCTGACAGTAAATTGATGCCAGTAACCATCCATTACACTTAAAGAAGCGCTTAGTGTCCTAAAGAATTTAGTAAAAGCGTGTTAGAACTCGAAAATGTAAAACAATTTGCAAAGGTTGTAGCCATTAAATGTAAAAATATACATATAGAAGTTGATCACTGGTTGTTTCCTCTCACAGATTGAGTTATTCGTTCTTTCAGGGAATGTTCAAAAAATATCCAAACAACGACATGCTGTAGGACGGTACAAACAGAAAAATAGGCAAACAAGCAACGAAACAAACAAGCCAATAAGCAAGGCCAAGCGCAGGCCAGTTGCGACAGTTTCTATACCTTTTAAAAAATGCATTTTAAATGATTGGATCACTCTGCCCCACTTTAAATAAAATTTCTTCATAGTTATCAATGCCTTTGAGCTTAAAAGAACGTATTCTTACTCGCAAATGGAATCACTATAAAGCTTGAAACAGAGTTTCGGTGATTGTCCATTGTTAACTAGTTTGAAGTTCATGAAGACTGTTTCGTTTCCAAGGCTGAACAATATGGGCTTGCCGCTTTTATTTGTGCTCTTCATCCACAACGACACCGTGAATTCTGAGAGGCTTTCTGTTAAGTTGTCTTGGATGTGATCATCAGGGTTTCCTCGCGTGAAATAAGCATCATAGTTTGAACGCGCCTGACCTAGGAGTAAAGACAGTTCAGTAACATTTTTGCCACGGTCTTTCTTAAGAAATGACAGGTCCTAGGACCTGGAGAGTTCTTAAGATTATAAGGCTCGGTTTATAACCTCTCCCGGGAAGGAGAGTCAGTGAAGCGCAGCGTGAAGTTGTACGCACGAGAAGAAAAGTTAGATTTTCAAAGGTGCTCCAAACAAGGGGAGTCTGGGGGGATGCATCGAGACCAAGCCCTAGGGCCTCGGAAATGCCATTTCCTGTGTTTTCCTACCCTGCGAGTAAGCTCTCCGGGGCCTTCTGGCGCCAGGGCGGGAAAAGGAAGGAGAGCTTGCAACTACGTCTCTGGAATTGGAATATCTGCATTGAAAAAGTCGACGCGAAATGCTCATTGGCGAAAATGACATAAGTAATGATGTCATTACCCTTGGCGCGTGTTTTTCAATGTTTGTTTACATTCGCTTTCTAATGCGCGACATTACATTATACATTACAACAGAACTAGCAGCTATAATCCAAGGCAGTCGTACATACATGATGATGGCTGTAGAAGTTTGACTTCGCCGCGTAAATTTTCTCTGGCTATAATCTTGTACCACTGAAATATATTTCCCAGCCTTGATCTACAGTTCTGAACCAACGAGGCAATTTCTACCTTCGAAAACTTGTAATTCCACATGTTAAAGGAGGTCATTCGTCCCTTAAACGAGTCTGTTGTGCCGCCGCCCTTCATTTGATGAAGGTTTTGTCCAATAAAAAGATCTCCTGAAATACTTTGATTAGACCAATCAGGTCTGGTAAACTCTGTAATAAATACGCCATCTAAGTACATTTGGCACTTTCTGTCTAATAACTCCCACACAATTGCGAGGTGATGCCAAGAGCCATCTAAGGGATTCTGATCCATATGAAGTTTATAGCTGTGAAAGAATTCAGTGAAAAAAGCCATTCTTAAACTAGACCAAAACCTGAAGCCCAGGAGGGAAGGAAGGAAGGAAGGATGGAAGGAAGGAAGGGGTAACGTTCGTTCCCAGTGGGTACTAGAATTCCCTTTTGTGAGTTTGAATCAAATTAATCGTCGCCTCTAAGAGTCACCAGTTCCAAACACAAAAAGAAAGGAAAGAAATTTCCTGACTAACTGACGCTGACTTATAAGGACAAATTCATTTGTGTCGTCAGTAACGTTAGAAAGCTGGTTTACTAACTTAGACCAAACGCCACTGAATTGTAGTCACCAGGTACCGGCACCGTACAAAGGACTTATTGAAGGACTCAAGAAAACCTAACTACGAGAGAATGTTTGTTTCATCGTGTATTTAAACTCGAATAGGATTATTCCTGGAGAAACTGTTTCGATCAAAAACTACAAAAAGGCGGGTTATTTTTATGAGAAAATTCACATACTCCCAATTTGGACCATCTGCCTGCCAATATGAAACTGCAGCTGAAATTCCATAACCAGTATTAGTTGCATCCTCCACGTTAAACTGCAACATGGCATCAGTTGTCGAACCAAATGTAAAGAGTGTTACCTTAGTAGAGGCAGAGTTCTTTATCCACATTGCCGCAGTGAGAGTACTTACAAGAGATGACCAGTGTTTTGTTGCATAATCGCCTACGTTTTGTCGTTCGAAAGACAATTCATAGGATCCCTTGGAAGTATCTGAAAAAAAAGAACATAATTATTTTTTTTGGCCTCTCTCCTCGTCTCTAAAGACGTTTCGCAGGAGACACGTCTACGATTCGGCCCACAAAATTACATGCTGATGACGTGAATCGATGATTAGATCATTAATCTGGTAGTCATGGGGGCTTCATTATCATTAAGTTTTAAGTTCTTCTGTGAACGAGCGGCAGCAAAACTCAAATGCTTCTTGTAAAGAAGAAAATACTCCAAAAGTAATGACTGTAGTAGATTCATGGCGTTAGATTTTTGTGACCTTCCGTCTTTTGTCTGTCATTTGACAACAATAGCCCATCAGCGCTTGTTGACCAGATTCCGGACAAATCTAAGTCATCATCATGGAGGTTTGGGGCCGGATCACAGACGTCTCGTCGCGAAACTTCTATAGACGCGAGGAGTGAGGGAAGACGGCTTTACTCACAGCCAACAGCCGCACTATATGCACCTGTTTAATGTAAAGAAAACGCTTTAAGTGAAGCCGACGGCCATAGTTACCTGCCCAGCTATTCTCTGTAAATCCACCAAAGACGTAATTGTCTTTTCTGACAATGGTGAGGGTGGGGGCCATGTTGTCGCAGAGTTCATGAAATGAGGAAACATTCCAGCCATGGCGGAGGGCGACATAACATGGGATCCACAATGATGAGTCGTAGCCTTCTTCAATCAGCATCCTACTCAGATGCTGATGATGAACACTGTCCCTTTGCAAAATGGAAGAAGTTATTGCTGTTGGAAAGTAATGATAATAAACAATTGATAAGACAATATCGCTCAGCTTGACAGTCATTCGACACAGACTATTCGCCACGTGCATGTAATACTGCTCGTTCAAACATGTTACAACACCTGACCAACAACTTAAAAAGTGAATTCGCGTTCATTGAAACCGTTCATGGCGATTTTCTCAACTCGCTTACTTTTTCAAATATAGGCGAACTCTCCCGGAGTTGAATCCATAAAAAATATCCAACTTCAAAAAGAGAAAGAGAAATTCGTCGTCCTTTCCTTACGTTCTCGATTATTGTGAAATTAGGCACGGACCTTTTTACCGATACGGCGGCCATATTGAATTAATTCGATTTAAGGAGTCATAGGTTACCCTGTGGGCATGAGCACGTTTCGTTTTTTTTTTTATTTTCGAGCGCTTTTCGGGACATTTTTTCTTAAAGTTTTCTTAGAATAAGATTCTAATGGGGAAAAAGATCCTTGTGCCGTGTTTGGATGAAATAATGATCGCCTTTTTCCCGAGAAATATACAGTGAAAGTCCATATTTCTAATACTAAACTAGAAAAAGGCGATCATTATTACATCCAAACATCGCACAAGGATCTTTTTTCCCATTAGAATCTTATTCTAAGAAAACTTTAAGAAAAAATGTCCCGAAAAGAGCTCGAAAATAAAAAAAACGAAATGTGCTCATGCCCCCTGGGCATCCTATAATACTCCTTAAATCGAATTAATTCAATATGGCCGACGTATCGGTAAAAAGGTCTATTCACGTCATAGTTGCGCAGTGACGGAAAAGAAATGTTCAAAAAAAGTGTACTGCACGTGCAAAGTTGTTGTTATTGCCACCCTTTTACCAAATTCTCTTGAACCCGCTGCACTGCTTTCTGTGTAATAAGGCTATTGCTAATAATTCTTCCCTTCATGGCTACTGATCAACCGTCAGGACCCTCTTTGAATAACAGAAAGTGTACAGAAGGTTGGCCTTACCCACTCCGGGGCTATGAGGTGAGGCATGTGAAGGAACCAGAGTGCACCTTTCCTGAGTGAAGGCAATCTGATCAATAGCAATATCGCCATAGTAACCATAACCTTTCCTTGCTTCAAAAAATACCTAAAAATAACAATCTCATAAGACACTCATTGAACTTGTGTGCACAAGGGGTTCGGCAATTTATATCATACCGGTTATTTTTCTCTTCACCTGGGTAATCTTAGCAAAGAGCGTGTTTAAGCAGTTAAACCTTTTTTTTCAGTCTCAAATATGGCCTGTAGCTGGCAAAAACAGGAAGAAAAGAACCGGTCACCTTACAAGGTATAATTGGCTTCTCTACGCTTTTCTATCAATGAAACCCAAGGATCCAAGTCTTATGAACAAATACGTAAAAATTCGCACTTGTAGGTGTTACGTTATAGTTAAAGATTTTGGCCATTTTTTGGCTGTATTCTGAACCTCATGGTTTTAATATTATTTTAATTTTCTTCAACAAACTCGTTATCATACCAAAATTTAACTATGGATAAAATTGGGAACACAACATGCACGCACCCATACACTGCACCTTGAAGAAACGGGTTTACCTCGTAATGCAGATCGGTAATTTCAACAGGGATACGAGCCTCCTTCCAAGTGCTATTCTGGTCTCCAAAAAGCCTCCACAACATCCTGTCTTGTCCGTGAAGGTCTCTGAAATAGACGTTGAGCCTTCCAATATGCACACCCCACATGCGATAATAAAATTTAACAC